AAACATTTGAATTGTTTATTAATAAAGTGTTTTCTGACAGTTTTCGGTATGAGACGCGCTCCAGCGGCGGCCTCCGTGTCCTAATTATATTGTCTACTATATTTGCTACTTATTCCTATTAATCCAGGCAATTTGTTGATGAAACATTGATTAAAATTAAGATACAATTTATACAAAACGAAATTCACTTTAAAGAAAGGCTTTCTACAAAACAAAACTTAATAAGTGGTCAAAATTATGTCTGACCAATTCCAAATGTTTTCGATATATTGGGCATCTTATCCTTTCTCATCTCATGCGGTTCCCTTTTCATATAGATCATCAACATAGATTAAATAAAAAAAATAGCATTATATTATTTAAACGTATATATGAAACGTATGTTTTGTTTGAGTTTTTTTTTTAACTTATAGGCCTATTTAAGCGTCACCCCACTCCGCTTTATTTACGCACATGCTCTGGTGTGTGGCCAGGCCTATAGGCCTACATGCATGCAGAAATAATATGAAACACACAACCATGAATGTTGAAAATATTCCAAATCAATTATTTCCCTCCTAGTCAAAAATACTATAAATCATCAGCACGCACTTCATCAACTCACCGGAGACACCAACTATCCCAGCTATTTTATCCCATACCTCGTTCTTTTGCTGGTAAGAAACACCGTCATGTCATAAATGATAGGGTATGCGTGCGTTGAGATGCGGAATAGGCAATATACAAATGCTGTCATTATAAAAGGTTTCTAGTTTCAATGTATTGCTTGTTTTTAGTTTACATTTCATGTTGTGACACTTCTTTTCTCTCGCACATAATGCTGCTACGTCAGAGCAGCCAAAGCGTCAAGCGCCTTTGTTTCCTTGTAGGCCTATGTGATTGGCTGAAGCCTTTTCTGTCGCCGCAAAAGTAAAAAAAAATCGACATCGAAGCGAAAAAAATAAAACTCGTTTTTTTCGCCGCAGCACATTCGCATTCGGTGTGGAAGCACTCATTACAAAAACAGCTGATCAAAAAATAAAACTATCGCGCGAATTATTCGTGCGTCAAAATCGTGTCCAGTGTGAAAGGACCTTAAGGCTAGAAACACCCCTGGGGTGTTCCGAATTAATGCATTTGGTGAAATGAACTTTAACAGAGAGTAGAGGCAGGGAACACTGCATTGAGAACCTGTGAATTGGAACCCAGCTTCAGTGTCTTTGAACTAATCAGTTGAGTTAATTCACTGGCTCACTCATGAAGAGTGAAGACCAAAATCGCGTACTGTCTGAGTAGGTATAGGCTACTACATGAATTAGAATTTTACTAGTACAATGTTAAAAAGTAAATTCTGTATGTGCATGGGTAGTGAATGAAATTCGGACATACTACATCCACATGTTTTGCCATGTTTTTACTGTCACATGACCTACCAGCTATCAGTTGTGTTGCTTCACTGCCATTCATAAATCCTCTCATGGGATTAGTAAATAATTAACTGCCATAAATCAGCAGTAGGAAGTAGGTCATCCACTTTTCGCCTACTGTTACTACCTATGTATCTGGACATACTACTCTTTTGCCGTACTGTTTTTTTCGTAAAATATATATTGTAGCAAAGTGTTCAATTTCGGACACAGCTAGTCCCTTGATTTGTTGCTGAATGAATCAGTTACATAAATGATTAAAGGTGGGGAAATCGGTATTTGAAAAACCCTGTTTGGAAGTTAGTCCGACCGACACACAAACAAACAAACAACAACAAACGTGTGTAGCCAATCAGCATTAGGGGGACTATAACGCTGGAGGAGAGAGAACGAGCATGAGGGAAATTTGAAGAAAGACTGCAGAAATAGAGATGAGACACAATACAAAAGAGAAAAGATCAGAAGAAATCACTGGAAAATCAGGGGGTTATGACTGGGGAAGAGCTTTAAGACCTGGGTTACTTTAGAAAAGCTTTCCAGCGCTGGACAGAGCTAAGCGGGAAGGCCTGAAAACCGACATGGAGGTTGATTTGATTCCACTCCACACGTGAGTAACACTGGGTTTGAATGTCATTGTTTGTCTGGAGCTCCTGTGCTGTTGGCAACAATGAACAATTGTTTGTAATTACTATTGTGTACTGTTCTTTCATTGTTGGTGCTTCCTTGTCATTTGTTCATCATCTGCGCTTTATTTTTCATGAAGCATTATTTTGTTGCGATTCTGCTATGAACAGACATCCAATTTAGGATTGCGTGTGTAACGAAGGCCAGCTACGGAGAGTCACCCTGATGACTGCTAGAGAATGTGGTGTTTAGCGTTATTGTTAGTGCACTCACCTTGCATGCCGTCGATCAGGGTTCTAGGCCGACTCGGAGCAGGGTGGTTAGGATTGGAGGGTGAGTTTTGGAGGCGGAACAATGAAGAGAGAGGTGTGTTTTTTGGGGTTGATTTCAAATATCAACAATGTCCAATAGCGTTTTTGAAATACAGCTTACGCCACCTTTAATTGACACTCATAAAGTCAGTCACTTATCGCCACCTACTGGCGTTACGATGTAAAAATTGTCTGATAAATTGAGTGGCCGTTTATACGACACCCTTTTCAACTAAAAACAGAAGACTTTTTATGGGTTTTTGCCGTTCATTTACACAACAACAGCATTTTGGTGGCCTGAAAATGCAAACTTTTGAAAATGGGTTTCAAAGTCCAAGTTTTCCGTGTAAAATACAAAAACGCAAATCTGTGAAAACGGTGACGTCATGATCATGCGTAGCCTATTACTTGTTTAGTTTATAGGATTTTTGTTTTGTTTGTTTTTTCGAAGCCTTTGGCGTTCAAAGGTTTTGACATTTTCTTAAAGGAAGTAAAAGGGGACTTTATATCAGAGGAGAACATTCTAAAATTGGGATTACAGTGAATGTTTCTGGCTTTGTGAAGATGAAATTTACCCAGAAGACGAAGTAATAATACAGTATTATTTGTGTCTATAGGCATGTGCGTTTGGCTCGAGTGCACTGTTGTAAAAGAATGCGAATGTGCGATTTTCTTTACAAAGTGACATCGCCAACTACTTGTCTGGCATGCATAATACAGCGTTATTAGTCGTTTTCGCGGATCCGTATGAACGGGGATTGTTTTGATATTGATGTCATCTGTACAAAGAAAAAACCTTTCCATTTTTAGCATATCGTTGTCGTGTAAACAGACCCTGAGATTGTCCTCGCTGGAGCCTGTAGCATGATGACGTACTGGATTAAATCCAATATGTTGTGGATGCATGCATGCTTTTTATTTCCAAAACCAGTTTAGAGCAAACTCTGCCCCGCAGCAAATTCTAAAGATTATATTACTGTGCCAACTGCAGTGCTGCTGATTACTACACAATACTACAACAGACACTAACCCCTAAACCCTAACCTCAACCTAGTTTGGGGGAAGAAAACAAGTCCTCTGCATGTTGAATTTAATCTATTCGTCATTGCACAACAGGCTGAACCCAGGACACCTTGGATAAATCTATATGCACAGACTGACGGTTTTGTCAGGTAGATTCAAACACAGTCTGACTGATACAAATAGCCAATCAAATTCGAGGACCGGAAGTGCTCCATAACTTCATATATAAAACTAAAGCAATGAATGGAAGTTCTTATAAACTATATACTAGTTCTGTCAGTATGAAATATTTGCTGTGGGATATTGATTGATTTCACACAAGACTTTGTGAAGGATCCTTATAAAAATAAGAAGTGACACATATCCATATCTATTACGATTAAGATGGAAAATAGCTTCTTCCTTTTGCGCTGTTGTTCCTATTCCTAGAACACCACATTGTTCATTCTCTACCCTTTATAAAGGCTCAATGTTGAGGGTTTTTTTTCATATGAATAATGTAAGAATTAGCAATACAGTCATCTTTATTTGCAGTTGAATACATATGAATTCTTTAAATGAGGAAAATTAAGGTTTAATCTTAAATGACCCCTGACATTCTCAGTCTATGTATTTGTTGTCTCTCGTTTCTCTAATGAACATTCTCGTTCGTTACTTCCTGTTTTGCCACACTCAACTTCCTCTTAAGGTGATGATACACAGGGCAACTTTTTGAGCAATGTTGCTGGGCAATGTTGCCATCAAAGGGCAACCAGATGAGACACAGGGCCCACGGCTGATCTAAATTATCCAGATAGAAATGTATATCCCATTTTCAATGGGAAAGTGCCCAAGCAACAATTGCTCGGCAAGATTGCCCAGCAACATTGCTCAAAAAGTTGCCCTGTGTATCATCACCTTTACTGTCTCACAATCTCTGCCTAATTATTTTTCTCTCTTATTTAATCTATTCTTCTTACTCCATCTGTCTTTTAAAACCCTCCTTGTCGATCACATCATTATTCATACCCACATGTCGACCAGCTGCTGCACAATATCTCCAAATTTAATCAGCCTCTTAAAAGGATCTTCTGGGTTTACTCTTGTAAGAGGTGAACAGAAACAATATGTCCCGAGGGATTGAGCTGTGTTCTTTTCTTCAGTCTTCTCTATAATCTCCTCAGCTAACACCACTCACCACACAAAAAGGGCCAGCTTAAAGTGGTGTCAGTAAGTGAAAAAAGAAGGAAGGAGAGAAAACTGAATGGGAGAGAGAAAAAGAGAGATCAGAGATTTCAGATTGTAAAGTCTGTCAAGTTGCATTTATTGTAAACTGAGGAAGAAAACAAGTAGGAAACAGAAGTACAATACAGTATAAGTACGCAGTGATAGTCTTGGATTGACAGCAAAATGTGAAATAAAATTAAATAAAAGTAAACAATACATTTTAGAAGAACTAGCTGTAGTCATGTTGTATAGCCGACAAGGTTTGTAATTTCTAAGATCTAGAAAGATGAACAATAATGTCGCAATTTGGGTGATGAGCCTGAAAAATTATAATGAAAACCAAATTTTTATATGAAAAATGTGTGATTTCTTAAGATGTTTTAATTCAAAGTCATTTCTGCCCTGTTGTTCATATTTCACTTTTCTCCAGGCTGGCCTTTTGGCAGTTTGGTGTGTAAGCTGAGTGGGATGGTGCAGGGAATATCGGTATCCGCCTCTGTCTTCACTTTAGTGGCCATCGCTGTGGACAGGTGGGCAAAAAAGTTTTGTCAAAATATTTTATTTTTCTGATTAATATATTTTTTTGCCAGGACAAGTATTATATATACACTACCATTCAAAATTTGGGGATTTAAAAAAAAAAATGCTTTTGAAAGATGTTCACTCACCAATGCTGCATTTATTTGATCAAAAAATACTGTAAAGAACAAAAAAAAAAAAAAACCCAGTAATACTGTGGAATATTATTACAATTTAATGTATAATATAATATATTTTAAAATATAATTTGTTTCTGTGATTCAAAGCTATTACTTCAGTCTTCAGAGTCAAATGATCTTTCAGAAATCATTATGTGCTTATTTGGTGTTCAAGAAAACATTTGAAAACAAGTGTGCAGAATAATGACATTTAAGAAGGCCTATTAATTTATTTTTTATATATATATAATACAAATCTTACAGACCCCAAACTTCTGAATGATAGTTTTAAAATGGTAACATTTTAAAATGCTTATTTTTTTATTTATTGTATGCCTTTTTCTTAAAAAAAAACACTTTCTTGAAACACTTATTTTCTGTTTCTGTCTCAATTATCTCTGCTCTGTTTTCTGTCATCCATCTCTTTTCTTTTCTCCTTTTAATATGTCCTTCCTTTTCCTTGTTTTATATTAATGTGTCAGATTCCGCTGCATTGTCTATCCCTTCAAACAGAAGCTCACTATCTCCACCTCCACCCTCATCATTGTCATCATCTGGGTTCTGGCTATCTCCATCATGTGTCCGTCTGGTGTTATGCTACAGGTCACCAAAGAGCACAGGGTCTCCATCTTGCTAAGTGATGGCAACACCACGCAACCCTTCTACTGGTGCCGTGAAAACTGGCCAAACCAGGAGATGCGCAAGATTTACACCACAGTTCTCTTCGCTAACATTTATTTGGCACCTTTGACCCTGATTGTCATTATGTACGCTCGGATTGGAATCACACTCTTCAAAACATCAATCCCTGCCGCTGTGAGCCAAGTTGGGACCTCAGGCTCCGGTTCTGGCTCTGGAAAACATAGCAGATATGAAAGTCGTCAACTGGTGTCCCGGAAAAAGAAGCGGGTCATTAAAATGTTGCTAGTGGTGGCCCTGCTCTTCATCCTGTCATGGTTACCATTGTGGGCTCTCATGATGCTGAGCGACTACGCAAGCTTGAGTGAGCATCAGCATCGCGTCATAAATATCTATTTTTATCCTCTGGCTCACTGGCTGGCGTTCTGTAACAGCAGCGTCAATCCCATAGTCTATGGGTTTTTCAATGAGAACTTCCGTAAAGGTTTCAAGGCGGCCTTTAAGCTTCAGCTCTGCTCAGCCCTTTTGGGGGAGAGAAGAAGCTACTCCCACCGACTGCAGGGGAATGCTGTATTGCCTGCCAGCTTGCCCATGATCAAGGTGTCTGCACTGGAGGCTGGGGGTCCCAGACCAGGGCAAGGGCTCATCCAAGGGTTGGTGTCTTTGGGCAATGGTGAAAGAAGCCAGTCTTCAGGCCAGGAGAACATAAAAGAACAGGATTTGATCATGGAAGATCTGGAGAAGGTGTGTGTGTGTGTGTGTGTGTGTTAGAGAAAATTGTGTGTCTGTTTGTTTGACGTTTTTTAATTATCAAAGGATCTAGAAGAAAATCAGGATTTCTACAAAAATATTAAGCAGCACAACTGTTTTCAACGTTCATAATAATAAGGAATGTTTCTTGAGCAGCAAATCGGTATATTACAATATATACTGAAGACTGGAGTAATGGCTGCTGAAAATTCAGCTTTGCATCACAGCAATAAATTACATTTTAAAGGAACACACCGACTTTTGGGACTTTAGCTTATTCACCGCATCCCCCAGAGTTAGATAAGTCCATACATACCCTTTTCATCTCCGTAACTCTGTCTGACGCACACACCGCTAGCCTAGCTTAGCACAAAGATTAGCACCAGCTAGCATATAAGTGACAAAATAACGCCAACATTTTCCTATTTATATGTTGTGATTTGTATAGTCACAGTGTGTACAAATAACAAGGTCATATGAGACACAGTATGAATACGGTTAAAAGATGGCTTTGTCTCATATGACCTTGTTGTTTGTACACACTGTGACTAGTACAAAACAATAGAAAACAGTTATTTTAAAATGTAAAAATATTTCAAATTATTACTGTTCTTGCTGTTCTGTAATCAAATAAATGCAACCTTGGTGTAAGACACTTCTTTTAAAAACATAAAAACATCTTACCAACTACAAACTTTTGAATAGTCGCGTATATAAAATACAAAATTACATATTTTTTATTAAATATTTAAATATTGTTAAAGTGGTGCATGGTAAATTCCCTAGTTTCATACTGAAATTCCACACTTTTAAACTGGCATGTCCTTGAGCAGGTAACCATTACAACACACTCTAAAGAAATTGGCAAAATTCTTACCTTTAGGTGTACAACAGTCCAACATACCTTTAGGGTTACAAAAGCTGTACAACGTCACTGTGGCAGTACCCTTAAAGGGACAACTTTGTACAATATTTGTCCATAATAGTACCTTAAAGAAACGTTTTGCCACTCTAAGGTACTTTAGTACCATTTTAATGCACCTTTAAGGGATAGATAAGGTACAAAGTTGTCCTTTTAAGGGTACTGCCCAGTGACAAGCTGTTGTAACCCCAAAGGGTTTTCTGACAGCGCAGATGCTGTAACAAACATATTCCTTTTTTATTGCCATCCAAGGCAATTGTACAGCTGTTCTTCTCTAAATTGTAAATCTCCTTCTGGCATCAGCAGATTTTTTTCTAATAGAAAAATGGAGTTTGATCCATTTTTATTACAGAAAGTTTTAGTGAGAAAATTCAGGGTTTTAAACGATTGAAATGTAACCACTGTTTGTCTGTTTTTCTTCACAGGTAATGTATGATTTATAGGTGCTTAATGATCTTCATGGAACCTGTTCAAAGGTACTGTGCACCCAGATGATTTTTCCCCTCTCTTTGACTGTTTTACTGCTGGGGGACACCATGAGTTCGTCTTTTATCTTATTTCATCTCTTTCATCTTCTAGGCAAGGATGTGCTCTGCCTTTTCTCATATAACATTTTAAGACAATAATCATTCCAGAAAGGCAGTCTAAACTGGAGGGTTTCATTTTCAGCAATTGTGTGTGACAAACACAAACAAGGTCATTTTGTGGACCTAGCTTTGACTTAATAAGATGAGAAATGAAATGACATCTTACTGGATGCCAAATTATGCCCAATGTCTTTCATGGATGTTCGCGCTTACACCCAGTTTAACCTGAGGAATACACCCTGAGGTTCATTTAAAATTACACCAAATGTCAAGACCACAACTAATACAGATACTCCCATGGGAAAGGTTTTGATTCTAAGCCACATCTGAAACTGACTGAAGTACCTGAACAGGGGATATTTGAGGGGGATTTCTTTTGCATCTCTAGATCTGGATGGTAGATCCATTACTCCATTTTGTCAAAATGGCGTGTTCAATTTCTTCTCTTTGAGTTGTGAAATGACTACCTTTTATTTTATTTTTTTATTGCCTGCTCAACATGTTCACTTATTAACCAACATTGAATAAATGCCAGCAACAAAACAGGTCTCTTACTGGGGTGTTTACTGGGTGAATGTAGTAGGTCTTGGTCTGTGAGAAGCATCATAACTATGAATCTGTATTAGCATAAAAATAGTTGACTGTAACAGGAAGGCCATTTTTCCAGTTATTTTCACAAACACTCAACAGTTTGTGCCCTGACATGGGGGACAGTGCCTGAGGATCTTTTCAGACTCAAAAACGCGATGTAAATGAGCTGCTGAACAAGAGCTGTGCCTTAAAAAGATGGCATTAGCGGTCAGAAACCATGAGAACTTGAACGGTCTTATATGTGGAACGAGTCAAGAAGCATCCACGAGGGAATGGCAAGTATCCAAACTGTCTCTGGTTATTGCATCTGACATTTATGCATATTTCACAGTTTCGGTTTTGGCGAATGAGAATCTACGCTGGCAATGTTGTATGTGTAGAGAAAAGACCTCACTTCAAAATGAAATTTTATTGTCTGTATTTCTAATGTAAACCTGGCTGTTGATTACAAAATGATATACTTGGCACACAATGTAGTGATGCTACAAAGTCTTTTTATTTGTGTGAAACCTTTCAGTTTGGTTTGAATGATGTGTAAACAATGAATAATCAAGCGAACAATCTGGTCAGAAAATAGTCATGAATTGAGGTTGGGTTGGAATTATTATTATTATTATTTATTTATTTTTACTAAAAATGCTGTGTAATTTGTCTCTGAGATGTTCTATGAGAGCAAAGCATATACATAATGAATGTTACGCTATCTAATGCTCAAATTACAAAAGGAATAATTTTCATTATACCGCCACTGCTTGTTGCATAATGTGCATCAGACAGAGAACAAGAGTTAGAGAGAGAAGCAAGTCCTTGTTGAGGTGTGTTACTTGTTGATGGTCATTATGAGCAACTTTATTTTTTGTAAAAGTGAAAAGCAGTGTGGGGTGTCAGCCTACTTGTCATGTCAGTGTGTTGTGACAGCATAATCATGTCTTTAAAGCCCTATTATTGGGGGCATATTTGACAGTATATTTGTTGGATGTTGGCACTGCTAATGTTACCATTGGAACATATTCATCTCAACAAAGAAAGATGCTATAGGATAATGTAGGCCTATAAACAACATTATTTTGACATTCTTTCATACAGTGGACAGGAAAATTATACAGTAAGAAAAACATCTAATTTTGTCTCTCTCTATTTCAAAGTTGTTAAATGTCTCCAGCGCTGGCATTCGCACAACGTTCTACATTGACATTCAGTTTATTTTTCTTAAAGCTCCAGTCCGTAACTTTTTTAAGTTAAAAATAATCCAAAATAATTATATTAAAAAAAACGTATACTGCCAGTGGTCAAAACTATCTGCTTGCCATAGCTAGATTCAAAACGGTTAGCTTGTAATAATGATTTTAATTCCAGTGGTACTGGTGGGTTTCCGCGGGAAATTCGAGCATGTCTTTGCGTCATTACGTCACACCCGTACACATAAAGAAGGAGTTTCGGCTAGCCGGCTATACTGCGCGTGACGAGATGTTTAGATGTATAGGCTTTTCTCGCAGCACTTTACATAATTAAACTTATGGCATCCAGAAAGATCCAAACAACAATCATCATTGTCAACTGGAGATTCAGCAGTTATAAAACCCAAAAGACTTCGTACTTCGGATTTAAGGTGGCTAGAGAAAGAGAAAGAAACCGTCTCATGCGAACACAAGGATTTAAACATCGGCGGGGCTTTTGAAAAGTGCGTGAACTCCGTGTTTTGAAGGGGTTCAAAACGGAATAAGAGACGGCTTTTTTCTGCTGAACAAGTAAGACATTTCAGTAGTTCAATCGCGTAACAGTAACGTTACGCTTTCTTAATTCACACAGTTATGGAGTTTCCTTTGTTGTGCCTTTCTCGTTTTGCTATTATGGAGAATATGAATTCTGAACTACACAGGTAACCATAAAACACATTAAATTTAACATTAATCACGCAATGCTTATGATGTTGTTAACATGAACAATTTGAGAACAAAGTAGGCTATAATTTGCACGGTTGCTGTAAATCTCGTTGATTAAATCTAACGAAGCTTATCATGTCGAATTTTTCCCCCTTAGTTGGTCAGAACAAAAATGGATGTTACTTACTTGTTCAGAAGACATTTTCTTATGAAAATTCTTATGTTGGTCAAACTTTCAAAAAGTGAATCTGTGATTCTGTATGACAGTATCCACACAGCGCGGTGACTGACAGCAGCACTCGCCTCAAAGCACTGTGTTCATCCGCGCTGTTTCATGCCGATTTACAACCCACGTAAAGATGATAATTCCGCGAATCACTGCAGTTACAGATTTCGAACAGAGAGATGGCGACAAAGAGGAAAAGCTACGGACTGCAGCTTTAAGAATCTGGAAACAGTCCCAACATCAAAGGAGTGAGTTGATATGTGATGCATTTATACATGATTCCGACATGTCATCCACAGTAGCATCAAAAACCTTCAGGTCTATCATTCTTTTTCTGAACACAGAAGTCTCGCCTGACTTATACCAGCCACACTTCTACATTTCCGTTCTCCAGTGTTTCTGGTCAAATTAGCGTATTTTCCTAGAAGAGAATGTAACATTAAACCTTTAAAATGGCAAAAAAAAAAAGCATATGGTTCCGTAGTGCTGACACTTTGTAAAAGACAGTCATTCCGACACTGCAGAGTCTCAACAGAGACTGTCCTCAACAGTTAAATGAGTGGGTAGGTGACATGAAGTGGCGCGAAGTTATGTTGATAACATATCCTACATACAGCTCCGAATCGCAGTGAAGTTCAGAGGGCTTTTTGTCCACATTAGGAGCACTCCTATACCTTACTCACATACAGTAAGTGCTGCCATGTTCATTTTCTCTCATAAGTCATTGACATGTGATGTATATGGTACAGAAACAGGTATTCTTTCACTAATCAATTACTTTCAGGAATTCTTTTAGTTTATTGCTGTTGTTGTGGCAGCTATTGAACTGAGCTCATTTTTATTCTTAGTAGTATTCAAAAAGTTTAATTAATTCAGTCTCTCCTTTTACCCAGTATAAACACGGGTTCATATGGAGACCGGAATAGGACAACAGTTCAGTGGAAATTAGAATCGGTCATGGCGGCGTTCATTGGTTGCTCAGGAAAAAGATAGATAAGTTTCTACATATTTAAATTGCAAGTGACAACAGGCTCAATTGAGATGTGCCTCACCTGAAATGTAGACAAGTAGATCACCACAGTCAGGTAAGGAGTGAAATATAGGCCTATGCAGTCGACGGACAGTTCTCACTTCTTGTTGTCGATCAGATGTAATCTAAATTCCGTTGCTTTTATATGAAAATGATGAACAAGTCATCTAAAGTAGCGGTTTGTAGGTTAGTTAATTTTCCTATACCAAAGATGCGTTCTCCATTCATTTTAAGTTTAATACATTTTAGATTTCTTTTAGGAATATGTCATCAATACTTATCTCATGCAGAGATCGCACTATAAGAGAGTTTAAGAAAATTCACACATAATTTACATAAATAAAAACGTACTCGGTTACTAACGTAACCTCAGTTCTCTCTAGAGAGGGAACGAGTACTGCGTAATAGCTTACGCTAGGGGAAAACCTCTTTTCCACGAGATATTGAAGCCAAAAATTATCCTTAATTTTTTGTTAATGTAAAACGCTTTGCAGCAGCAAGCAGACACAGGCGAGACAGCTCGCGCGCCTATTGGCTGCTCTTGCGGCAAATGCAGCAGCCTATCGAGAGAGACTCTGCGTGACGTAATGACCAATGGGGGCAACTCGCGCCCATATCGTCACGTCCCGCCAGAAAGGGCGTGGTCTCACTCTATAAATGTGCTCGTTAGGCTGGTACAAGCTGGTTTTCATCGCCGAAGCGAACCAGAGCGTATTCCAAGCACGGCAAGATACGCAGTACTCGTTCCCTCTCTAGAGAGAACCGAGGTTACGTTAGTAACCGAGTACGTTCTCTTACGAGAGTATCTCTCGTACTGCGTAATAGCTTACGCTAGGGGAACACAATGCAACACGCCGTGCGTACAGGGATCCAACACCAAAGTCCCAGGGGCCGAAGCCCAGGGCTCATATAGTGCATAATCACCATAAACTCACATAGAGTGGAGGAAGAGAGGCTGGAAGCGTCATTCCTTATAAAATAGCACCCAGCGGGGCTATCATATGACAATAAAACGCGCAGCCAGGGTGAAAGCTTTCAGCCTGATCTGGGTGGCCATACGTGTGTCAACACTCATGGGGCTGCAGTAAACTCAGCATCTGGGCCGCACAGCGGGGCAGATAGCACTGAATTTTAGACCGCCAAAAGCTTAGCTTGTAAGGCGGGTACCTCCAGGTTATAGTATTTTATAAATGTAGACGGCGAGGCCCAGCCCGCGGCCGTACAGATATCTTGCAGGGAAACCCCGCTAGACCATGCCCACGAAGAGGCCACGCCTCTCGTGGAGTGCGCTCTGACACCCAAGGGGCACTGCAGGCCCTTTGCAGTGTAAGCGAGTGCAATGGCATCCACTATCCATCTGGACAGGCTCTGTTTTGAGGCAGCAAGTCCCTTGGAGCGCCCGCCAAACAAAACGAAAAGCTGCTCAGTCTGTCTGAAAACAGACGAGCGCGACACATAAGCTCTTAATACCCTGACGGGGCAAAGGAGACTCGCGTCCTCCTCCTCATTGAGAACCGGAAGGGCGGACAGGGAAATTACCTGGGCCCTAAACGGTGTATTGAGGGATTTCAGCA